ATGAGCAAAGAAAGTGGTTTCTTGAGATGAAATGAACTCCTGGTGTAGATGCTGTGAGCACTGTTGAAATGACAATAAAGGATTTAGAAAATTACATTGATAAACAGTAGCAGGGTTTGCCTCCAATTTTGAAAAGAAGTTCTGTGGGTAAAATGATATCAAACAGCATTGAATGCTACAGATGAATCTTTCATAAAAGGAGGAGTCAATTGATGCAGCAAACTCCATTGTTGTCTTATTTTAAGAAATTGCTAGAGCCACCCTAATCTTCAGCAATCATCACCCTGATTCAGTCAGCAGCTAACCACACCAAGGCAAGACCCTCCACCAGCAAAAAGATGTGACTTGCTTCATGAAGGCTCAAATGATTGTTAGCATTTTAAGTAATAAAGTATATTTAAATTAAGGTTTGTACATTTCTTTTAGATATAACCCTACTGCACACTTAATAGATTACAGTATAGTATAAACATAAATTTTATATGCTCCAGGAAACCAAGAAATTCATGTGACTCACTTTATTTTAAGTGGTCTGGAACCATACCTGCATTATCTCCAAGGTATGCTTGTATTACTACCAGTTTTGTTTAATCATCTGAAATTCCTTCCTGCATTCTTTCATTCAATAAACATTCATTGAGCCATGTATCATACCAAGCATTGGAACTAACATTATAATGAGGAAAGGCAGACAATACCACAATGAGTAACAAATTATAGAATGTACTAGAAGGGTTATATGATAAGTAATAACAGAAAAACAATGTAAGCTAGGGGGATGGGAAGTGTGTACAATGTGGGAGTTTGTACTTTTAGGTAGGACAGTGAAGGAAGGTCTCATTGAGAAGGTACATTTGCACGGAGATTTGAAGGAGGTGAAGCCATCAGAGGGAAGGAATTCCAAGCAGAGTGAACAGCAACTTCAAGGATCCTGAGGTTGGAGCATATTTGGTATGGTGCAGGAACAGTAAAAAGCCCAGTGTGGCAGAAGAAACGTGAACAAAGAGTAAAGTAGTATAGATTAAAAGAGAAGATGGGAAAGAGATCATGTAGGGTCGTGTAAGTTCTTTGTAAGAACTTTGGTTTTAAACTCTGGGTGAAACTCACTGAGTTCCATTTTCACAGCATGGGAAATGAGAGACAGAATGAGAGACAGATGAGAGACAGAATGGCACGGGTCAATTCAATCTCATTGATCAAATACCCACTTAAGACAGTGAAGCATTGAAAAATAAAGAAGAAAAGCATCAGTTTCTAAAAGAATTAAAGTCAGGAGACTTTGTTTCCAGGCCCACTTATTGGCTGCTTGGTCTTAGATACATTCTCATCACCTCTGATTCGCAGCTTCTTCACCTACAAAATGAGGGTAACAGTAACAGCCTTGCTTTAACACAGGTTAAATGCTCCGAGAATTATAAAACACCATACAGTCAACACCATATCCGCGAGTTGTGTATCTGTGGATTTCAACCAACCAGGCATTGAAAATACAGTGTTCACAGGATGAGGACCCCGCAGACAGGGTCAACTGTGAGAACCTGTGCATTCCCCAGGGCCTGCTGTAGGACTTGAGCATCCACAGATTGTGGTATCCGCAGGAGGCCCTGGGACCAACCCACCACAGATGTCGAGAAACGACTGTATTATGTTAGCTGTTTTCTTCTTTTTAACTCTACGATTTGCAACCTCCTTTAAAGTGATCTAAATGATCCTGAAACTCTGCATACAAATTAAGCTTTTAATAAGTTTAGTCATGTTTTCACAACATTAAGGGAGTTCTGTATTGGTAATAAATTCATATTTTTGATGAAGAATCCTTTTGAAGTGGTATTCTTTC